GGTTGTCTCCAGAGTAAATAGCTTCCCTCTTAACAGAGTTCACTAACAGCTAAACTACTCTGATCCCCAGAGAGTAAAACACTTGTGTTCTCAATCCAACACAAGCCCCCAGGTGTCTACTTTGACCCTTCTGGCCAAATAGATGTAGAATCACCTGCCCTAAAACTCTCTGTCAGTAAAAATCTGTGCTCACCCAAAAATCTGTCACCCTCTCCCTTCAAAGCCAAATTCCTTCTCTCTTTGTGACAATCTGACAGCCTTTCTTCTCCCTGGGCTAAAACTCCTCCCAGCCTGCCTTAGCCAATCCAGAGTTAGCTCCAGCTCCACCGCTCTGCTGTTCTAACACTCCCAAGATGTCTGCTTCCTAGGATTACCTTCACAAAATGGAGGCTGGCTTACTGACATCTTAGGCTCCTACTGTGGCCTATGAGGTAAGGATCACCACCGCTTCTCCCTGGGATGGCTTTTTGGCTGCATCTCCTCCTTGCCAACACGACCTCAATAGTGGCACCCTGGCTCCGGGACCCCCCTCTTGAACATTCATTCCTGTGGCTAAAGTGATAGGGTTGGACAGAAGGAAAAACAACGTATGATGAAGTCCTAATATTCATTTCCTGGATTATTACTATGTGTTTGGTACTATGGGGTACCCATAGTAGTCTCTAAAGGGAAATCTAAGTTGGGAAAAATAGTCAATCACTAGTGACTTTTGGAGGGGGTAGTATCATAATAGAATAGTCTAATGTTGTTGTGAAGCTGCTCTGAGGGAGGTGGGGGGTGAGAAGGAAGGGTACAAATATGCAAAATAAATAAATAATGTAAGTTGAAAAGAACTGTTGGGACACTCTGAAAAAGTTATGGGGACCAATTTTGAGGTTCTGGGCATAATGTTTGTGTTTCATATATATCTTTTCTGGTTGGGATACAAAGGGCTATTCATCCTAAACTCCCCTTTCTAGCCCACTGTTGTTGGTGGCATTAAGCGGTAGGGGAGAGGGCCAGAGAGCAAGCAGGAAATGCAGACATTAATGAACGCTTTCATCTTGGCCTGGATAGGAAAGAAAATGGGAAAGCACTCACAGACCAGGCATGTAGCCAAAAGAGTCATGCACCAGAATAAGCCTCACTTATGCCCACATACATCACTAACAGGTTTCTGCCCTTTCTGCAATTTTTTTCATTCAATGAGTAAGGCAATGCATTTCCCCCTCTGCTCATGATATTAATTGCATATTTTATTCGACTTTGTAATATTTCATTTATTATGTTGGCATTGTCTTTATGTTTGTCACATTGTTAAACTGCTTCAGTTGTTGCTATGCATTTTGATCATGGCTGTTTTTATCTTAAAGTAAGATATAATTGTGCTTTCACCATTTTCTAAAAGCACACCCACAGTTACGCAAACTTCATTATATCCTGACTGCCGTTCTTTAGTTTCTTCCTGCCACCAGAAATTTCTGTAATGGAAGTAAAAATTTCCTCATAGAATAATATTTTAGATTAAAAGTTCTGCAAACAAGAGGAGAGAATTCTAATATCACTGGAACTTGGGGGACGGATTGATGGATTACAGCCTTTCAATTATTCCATTATTATCCAGCCTACCTAATATTCAGAAGTTGTGAAAGTGATTATATCATAGAAACATAAAAGTCGGAAGGCATCTGAAATGCCACCGGCACCTATTCCAAACTCTTACATGTAAACATGGTGACAGACCCTTCGTTGCACTGCAGGATGATTTCCTTATTTCCAGAGTGCATGTCCAAATCAGAGAATGGAGGGGAGGTTGCCAGCCATGCTATACAAATGCTTGCTTGAATAAGGCAACAAGTTACTGCAATGGAATAAGGTAATCTTCTTCCTGCCCACTTGTTCATCCAAGATCCAGGCCTTGTGGCTAGGAATGCCAAAGAAACAATCATGGTTTTTGCCAACACGCATGACACAGCCACTGAGAAGAGGATGGCAAAAGTGGTTTGCCTGAGAAGGCAAGGTACTTCTTTTGGTTGGCCAAGGAACAAAAAAGGAGAGAGGAAGCACAGCAGGAGGGAGATGAGAAGAATGTAGGTGAGATTCCGGTTATTGGCTTTGACTATTGGCGTATCTTTGTGCTTAATAAATATTTGTAGTACTAATGCTGTGATGAGGACAAAAGAAACCGTGACTGCAGATAAACCGATCCCTAAGGGATCTTTATAAGACAAGAAACTAATATTTTTGGGGATACATGTGTCTCTGTCATTGCTTGGATAGTGATCTTCTGGGCATCTGAAACAGTCATCCATATCTGAAAAATCAGAAAAGATTGTATTTCAGGGGCTATTCATATATTAGGTACAGATCATTCCAATAATATCACTTTACAGTATTTTTCAACCTGGGGGTCAGGACCCCTTTGGGGGTCATGAGCGGCATCAGAGGGGTTGGCTGAGACCATTAGAAAACACAACATTTTCTGCTGGTGATGAGGGTTCTGTGTGGGTAGTTCTCATTGTCCAGTTACCTGGTGTGGTTCTTTCACCTGAGTGGCCAAGGTTGTTTTTCTTCCATGATCACACCTGAACACTTAACAGAATGGACCCAGTTGACCTTTTTTATGAAAGCCCTAGAGTTATCTCACTAGCAGTTGCTCTAAGATCTATCTTCAAAAAGGAAGTTATCTAGATATGTAGCCTTCAATGACATTTCTTTAGCAGACTTTTTTGTGATCCCACCAACTTTCTTATTCCCCTTTTGAGGGCAACCGGGATGAAAAGACTGCTGGATGACAAAGCATGTGAGCAAAGGACGAAGGAACTGGGCATGTTCAGCCTGGTGAAGAGAAGGCTGAGTGTTCTGTCTCCCAGGAAAAGTTGATTTGCATTGCCCCATAGTTGTAGAAATAGCACCCCTTTTTTTGCATTTCTTCCAGGGTTGTTACAGGCTTAGCAACACCCTGATAGTTAACTATTAACAGAGGCTTGAAGTCAGCCTGCAAAGCCTTTGCTGCTGTTGGCTTGCAAACGTATCTTTTTGATCTTGATACCACCCCTTTTTCCTGGGGATGAATTCTCCATTTTGAAAAGCTCTTCTGCCTTCTACAGTATAACAAAAGTTTCTTTCTAAAATAGCAACTCAGCACTAGGGCAGAGAATATCCCAGGATTTCTCTGCCAGTGGAAGAAGCTTGAACTACTTTGTCTCCAAGCTAGCTTTGAGCTTAGATAGGGAAAGACCTGCTCTTTCTAATATAGCAACACAGGGCTAGGGTAGAGAATCCCACGATTTCTCCACTATTGGAAGAAGTTAACCCAGCAACTGAAGGGAAAAGTAAGAAGGAAACAACCACATGATTTTATAAGTTGACTTCCACAACTTGTGCCAAGCCTGTCAAGGACTTTGAGAAAATAAAAATCTTGTTTGATGTTCAATCTGGAGATGTCTTAGTTGCTGGGACTCCTGAGCTTCAAAGTAAGGCCCCCACAGTCCACCCGACTAAAGAAAGAAGCACATCAAGGTTTCAACCTTAAAGTGCCTAGGTGTGATGGCACACTGAGAGCTGGCTTGACTGCCTTCTTTAAATACCTTAAGGGCTCTCATAGAGAGGATGGTAGCTGCCCCAAAGGATCGTACTAGGTGTAATGATTTGGAGTTACAGATCTGCAAATTTCAACTGAACATTAGAATGAACTTCTAGATAGCCAGAGCAGCTTGAAAATAGAAGTAATTGACTTTAATGGTGGCATTCCTTTCTCTGGGCTTCTTTAAAAAGAGATGGGGCAGCATATTGCTATCTGGAGATCCTGCATTGAACAATAGGTAGGAATTGATGACCCATGGGGCTCTTTCTAACTCTATGACTCTGTAACCCTCTTTAATGAACCATGTAAATACTTATTGTGACTATAATGATGACTGCTAACACCATCTCCATTTTTAAATACATCTATACGTAACTGTTTAACCTTTTTATTTTCAAGGCTAAACATATTGTGCTCCATAATCCACTCTCCACAGAGCCTGGTTTCCAGGCCTTTATCATTTTGGTCATCCCTCTCTGGACATGTTTCAGATTGTCAGTATTCTTGAATATTCCAGATGAAATGTGATCAAAGCATAATAGAGTATTATTATTATTTCCCTTTCTCTTGATGCTTTACTCCTATTCCTACATTCAAGAATAAGTTTGCCTTTCTTCGCTGCCACATTACTATTGGCTCACAGTGATCCTGTGGTCTACAAAGTGGTTAGATGCCTTTTCTATATGCTGTTATCAAGCTAAGTGTTACCCATCCTATATCTATGTATTTCCGTTGAAATTCAGTTTGT